TTAGCACCTGACAAGCATGGCTATCCAGTTGCAGCAGCACACGGGAAACAGAAGAGTAGCTACCTTCACTTGGTGGGTCCCGGCCCGCTAGCCCCAACAGTGTGAACATTTCTCATCCCATGTGCCACCAGTCTTTTTCAGGACTCCTTCACCAGCCACGGCCAAGTGACATCTTGATAGTCTAAGCTCAAATCAATGCAGGGAAAATCATGGATGGTCACATCCAGCAACACTCGCAGCTGCCTGGCGTGTTGGATCAGCAGCGCAGCGTCTATGCTTGAAGTGGAAAACAAACATCAGGCTCCACCCAAATAGGTTGTACTAAAATTATTGATGACCCATAAGCTGGATGAACATTCGGGTATTTCCCATTTTTTTCTGGCGGAATCACGCTAACATACCTTGTGCTTGACGGTTACCCCCACGTTCTCGATGGTTCAATCGTCATGTTTAAAGCTGTTAATTAATAATCATCCAAATCTTTGATGGTAATCCCTCATTGTTAATACTCAAATCATCTGAAGTCCAGGTTTTTGTTGATATCTACCATTTTTCTACAATTTTTTGTGGTTTCCCCATCGAAGCCACACAAAAGTGGCCGGGGCCTTGGGGATGAGACCTGCATGAAGCCCTGCATGTCCTGAGGCACGTGAGGCACGTTCGGCACGTTCGCGGCACGTTCAAAAATAGGAGAAATCCCATGGGATTTAACATGATTTAACATGATTTAACCATACATAAACGGGACTCTTAATATCTTTACATTAAGGGGATTCATCAACAGGGATTCAACATGGCTTTGTTGAGGTTTGTTGTTGTATTCCATCCATTTCCATCCCACAATGGGAATCATTGCAATGGCTGCATTTGAAATCCCCTGTGGAATTCATGGATTGATGACCATTCTCCAATATTGTATTCCATCATATTCATTCATATTCCATCTTTTGAGAAATTTGACGTAGAAACATGTGCCATGTTAAAACCATGCTTTTGAACATCATCTTGAAGGCAAAATTTCGCCAACGAAATCCCCCACACAAATTCGATAAAACCGCCATGTGGACTGTGGAAGTATTCATTTTATACATCGGTATCTATAATTTCCAGAGCCCACTCCATGACCAAAAAAAGGCTGGACACCGTTGGGTCAAGATTTGTATCAACCACAACTCAGACAAATTGCCAGTTGGGATCAACACTCAGCAATGCTGACTTTCAGAAGCGGAAAAGCCCCTGGCATGTTTTCAACAGAGTGGCGATATCGAAGGATTGCTTGTCTTTGGGAGTGAAGAAGCTCCAGCATTCCGACAGAAGCAACACCTGGATCAGCACCTCAAAAAGCGGGACCCGTCGTGACCTGATGCACAAAAAACCATGGCAGATATCCACTGCGGGGGTCCCCTAGCAAAAACTGCCCTCTGGTATACCGAATCCACCATGTTTCTATGTAGTAAATTTAATGTGTATATATATATAACAATTATATACAATTATATTATAATGTAACTCTCTCCACTACTCGTTGTTATTTTCCCATTGCCCTCGTTGATTTTCACATACTTTCTCAGCGATTTCCTAGGACTTCCCATCTTTTCTGTTTCCCAAGGGGATGGCGCCATGGCCCAGTCGCTAGGAAAACGCCCTGCAGCGCCAGTGAGATACTGCTGCTGGGGGTCTCCCGCACGCCTTCCCGGTGCTCAGGCGCCAATTTCCTGCGCAAAACTCAGCAGTGCAAATTAGTCAATTTGTCAATATGTTGAAAACAATGAAAAACAATATTAGTCAGTTTGTCAATATATTAACATGAGTCATGGTTTTTAACAATATTAGTCAATGTCTGATGAAACCGACCCGACTTTTGTGATTGACAACATTGACATGTTCCAACTGGATGAATCACGAAATTTCTTCCCGTACTGTGCAAATAACAACCCAGGGGATTCAATGGGATTCAATGGGATTTCATGCTGCTTTTCATGGGAATTTTGTGGATGAAAATCATATTTCTATCGTTATTCTGAGTTAACCTCCTTATAGCAGCTATAGCATGGTCCAAACAATTCAAGTCATGAAAACCCTGAAATATCATCAAATAACTTCCCAATTTGCGGTCATGTCTGAAGTCTGAAGGTCACCAATGTGGGTAAAGAAGTCAGAACAACCATCTCACAGTCCTGAACAAGTCGAACTCTTTGAGTATCCTGGCAGCCATGGTCTGAACCTTGAACGGAACACCCAACATGAACCTGGCTATGTTTTCTACTGATCGATAATATTCGCGAATTTGGCAAAAAACTGGATGACTCAATTGGAAGTGAATTTACTTATATACGTCATATGTCATCTATGTCAAACTAACCTAGATATTGACCTATATGTAGCTATAAATGTCATGGCTCAACCAGTTGCACCCTTCAACCAGTCAATTCTCTGTCACCTTTCGGGCCGCGACATGCTGAGCTCACTTCCTGCCATGGTAAACCATGGTAACTACCAGGGTTTTTATACCATGACCCAATGATGATGATAAATTTTATGATGATTTCAGTGAAAAATATCTCCAATCATACCCAATCTACATTTCCGTCATGAGAAATGAAAACAAACAGTGGTGGTTACAATGATATTATGTGATTATCACTATAAAATAGTAATACTGTCAAACATCTCTAGTCGAATATCAAAAGAAAAAAACGCCGTGGGAATTTGTTGTTTCCAGCACGACAGTCCGTTGGGATCATCGTGCAAATTTGGGGTATGATGGAGGCCAGCATAGCTTCTTCATTACAACTGAACATGAGATATCCAGTCTCACTATACTATGTTTTACTATGTCTCACTGTATGTTGCAACCCACTTATCGATCTATATTTATCTCACTGTAACAGTGCTGTGAGCCGAAAATACTTTTTGCGTTCGGCTGTTCGATGCCCATGCTAGAGAATCAACCAACCTATTACTCTTAGTCTGTTGTGGTTTAGCTTGCATGATGAGATCTGACCTAATCCAGCCTAGCCTCTCCCGAACCAACATGGTCCTATCTACCCTATCTATCCATCTATCTTTCTATCTAATATCTATCCATCTGTCTATCTATCTGACTATCTATCTATCGATCTATCTATTGATCTATCTATCTATCGATCTATCTATCTATCAACCTGATCTAATCTAATCTAATCTGATCTAATCTAATCTTATCTATCTACCGACTATGTATCTATCTACCTGTCTACCTATCGATCTCTCTGCTCTGCTCTGCTCTGCTCTGCTCTGCTCTGCTCTGCTCTGCTCTGCTCTGCTCTGCCTCTGCCTCTGCCTCTGCCTCTGCCTCTGCCTCTGCCTCTGTCTCTCTCTGTCTGTGTCTCTTTCTCTGGTCCCTCTCCTCCCCCCGCCCCCCCCTGCTTCTCCCTCTCCCTCTCCCTCTCCATCACTCTCACTCTCACTCTCACTCTCACTCTCACTCTCACTCTCACTCTCTCTCTCTCTCTCACTCTCTCTCACTCTCTCTCTCTCTCTCTGTTTCTCTCTCTCTCTCTCTCCCTCCCTCCCTCCTTCCCTCCCCCATCTCTATCTGTTTATCTATCTATCTATCTGTCTAGTCTATCCATCTATGCATCCATCCATGCGTCTATCTATCTACCATTAGCTTTAAGAGCTATCATTTTTTCTCATTATTTCTTTTTATTTCTCATTGCCTATCATTACCTATCATGATATGTCATTATCTATCATGATCATGCATTTTCTAGCACTATTTATTTATACCCATCTATAGCTATCTATATCTATACCTATCTATTTCCTATCTATCTATCTTTTTATCCTACACTATCCTATCCCATCCTATCCTGTCTTACCTATCCTCTCTACCCTATCTATCCTGTCTACCCTATCTGGCCCGTCTTGCCTATCTATCCTATGTGTCCTATCTATCCGATCTATCCTATCTATCCTATCTAGTCTATCTAGCCTATCTATCCTATCCTATCCTATCCTATCTCTCTCTCTCTCTCTCCCTCTCTCTCTCTCTATCGATCTATCTGTCTGCCTGTCTATGTATTTATCGATTCTCTTTTCTGTATATTAACTGTATATATATATATATATATCTAAACTATCAACCATCTAAGGGGCGCAATCTATCCTGTATATCTAAACTAAACTATAAATCCTGCTGTTTCAACCTACGCTATCTATTTTCCCGTCCAACTGGTTTGCCTACCTGCCGTGTTTTTCTACCTATCCACCTGCTCAAGTCTTGACATCTTGGCATCACGAAACAGCCACAAGCCCCAACAAGAAACGCCGGGAATATGGGAAATTGATGGAACTTGGCCAAACTGTGAGAAAGCTTATCCGCAGACCAGGCGCCCAGAGCCGAATGCACACAAAAAGCGACTACGCCCCGGGCCGCAGTCACTGCTTCATTTTTTTCTCCGGCAACTGCGCCACGACTCTGTGGTCATGTCAGAAAAGATTGGGCTATCAAATGTTGAACAGAATGTTGTTGCTTCTGCATGGTCCAGCAACTTTCAAGCGGAGCGAGCCCGGTGCCACTGCGTATCACTGCGCCACTCTGCTGCCAATGCGATGTACATGTCACATCTTACAATTTGACACAAGGCATCTTCAGGTTGCTACACATGTCACCCACTGGACAACTCATGGGCGGAGTCTCCCCTCCATCGTCATGATAGGGGGACCCCCCCTGCAAATGAAGGTGTCATTTGCACCCAAATCCGTTGAAAACCTCTCCAGAGCCCCCGCTGAAACGCAATCTGCTTTGCGCACACAGCATGAACACCGTGACGGTCCGATTTTCCACTTGGTTCGGATCAAGCAAGGAACAGAATCCGAGTTTGACTGCGCCCGTGTTGAAAGGGACAAGCAGACCCAAAGTTTGGATGTCTCATCAACAAAGACTAACCGCGTCTGCGCGCACATGATTTTGCAATAGATTCTCCCGCAGGATGTGCACAGGAGGGTTGAATGAGCCGATTTCCACTGACCAAGGTCTCCCAAAAACAAGCCTCTTACAAACTGAAAGTCGCGAGTGGGAACTCTGCATCACTCACCTAGAGCATCTGGACCTTAAATCCTTGGGAAAACTAGCGGATGAAATCAATAAGACTGCATTTTCAGATGGGCCTAAAACCAATGGATGATGAACATCCATGTACCAGCCGTTCTGATGTTCACCAAAGCACCAGATGTTTGATCGAGAAATGCTGTACGAACACACAGGCGGTGGCAATCCTGCGCCTGCCGCATCAGATCTCTTCCACCTCTGAGGACATGCGGTCGACATGGAGCTAGAGAGCGCCATCCTGAACTTCAAACGTCACGCTCAAACATCCCCAGACCAAGGGACACGCCAAGCAACGGAAATATGCCTGGAAGCGTGGACAGCAGAGGCACTTATTCCTGTGCTGTTAAAATCATATCAAGTCCATGCCGAGCGTGTCTTTCACAATCGGCTTCGCCAGGTAACGAGCGGCCCTTGCAGGCAACTAGCAGCCCTTTCAGAATTTGGTCACCATCTGAGAAAATTTCTTGTTGTCTAGTGACTCTAGTGATTTGCCGTCTGTCTGATTCTGTCTTATAATTGTTGACGGAAAATTGTTGACCATGAATTAGCGTGAAAAAAACACCCAAGAACGTGAAAAAGCTCTTTTAGAACGTGAAAAGCCCCTTGAGAGCGTGAAAGTCCAGTGACAGAAGGGTGGTCCGTGACATTGTGACATTAATTGCGCTTGCACGTACGCTGCATGCAAAGGTTAGCATTATCAAATGCGCAAGCTGCATGCTGTTTGGAACAACTGCAACTTGCATTTTCCACAAAAAAATGCCCTTTTAGGCAAACCGCCCTTTTAGGAAGGGCTTTTAAGCAACCGCCCCGCTAGGAAGGGCTTTTGGAAGGGCCAGGTATTCGGTATCATTTCCCTGCGACCGTCTTGCCATTCGCTCTACGGGAACACGTTCACTTTTCACAGGGTCACCGTCATCGCTTTCCACCACTGGAAAACGGATGGGATTTGGCACCTTTCCCATATAAGCGTCAAAAATTCTTGGTAAACGGTAACCTATGGTCCTGTATCTGAACCAGCTGGTTTCACAGCGGCTACGTCTCATGAGAAAAGTTTTCAACATCTCGAGCAACCAGAAAAACAATCTCTGCGCGACCGAAGGGATCCTTTTCGATCCTGAGGGGGTTCAAATGAGAAAATAGGTGCACACATGCAGCCTGCTTGCTGCGGGCTGGAGGACCATAGCTGCTGGGATACCATGAACCTCTGCAAAACAGATCTTCTCACTTCTTGCAGCTCCCCAAGCGTCCGAGAGTCTAAGTGCTTGGTGACACCCCCCTTTCCATTTGCAATGGCGTGAAGGCATTTCATATTCCAGTTGTGCATCTTCTTGTGGGTTTCCATGGCCACGAGTCTACGTAGAGTCTACGTGTCTACGTGGTTGGGGCAGCCTCTTTGGTTTGAAGGGAAGCCCGCGGCCTGACTTTACAGCTCGTCTTCCCAGACACCAGAAGACGGCATACTTCAGGGGAATCTTGTGTTCAAAGACATGTTCCAAAACGGTCTTTTGGTTAGTTTTGTGCTTCGAGGAAATTCTTTGGGTACGGCGCAGTTAGGGGAGACATCAATCTGCGCGTCTTCTTATAGGTTTCCATGGGTCAGAGCAGGCGAAAGTAGGTGACAACAGCTGAAAACAGGTTGCGCAAAGTGAGAACAGTGAAAGTACAGTAGGTGACAGCAGGTGAAAGTAGGTGACAAGAGGTCAGGCGGCTTGGTTCGACGGAAAGCCTCCTGCCTGACTTTACAGTCCTTGATCTTCGAGCATTAATTTCTGGTTGTTTGCTTGTTCGTATATGTTTTTGGCAAATCGAGCGCATTTTTCCATCACGAGCAGAAATTTGCCAAGCGAGCACTTCTTGAGTTTTCACTGCCTATCGCTGATTCAAAAAAAACAGGCCGCACAACGAGCGCAATTTCCCGCAATCGAGCGCAATTTCCCGCAAACGAGCGCACATTTGAAAAGTGGTTGTTTTCAAATCTAGCTGTACCTCGAGCAGAAATTGGTAAAACGAGCAGATTTGGGTTCCTCAAGCAGAAATTTGCTCGAGCAGAAATTAATGTACTCTTGAAGCTCCAGGGTTCTTCCCACATGCCCAAGCGCTGACTACACCCAGGCACAGCGTGCCTCACGGCAACTAGAGGCGCAGGAGAAGGGGAACGAAAGCGAAGGTTCATATGAGCCTGGAAACACGACGGGATTTTCTATGCTGAATATAGATTATCCACAGCAACTAAACATCCGGAACATGGTCGGATGATGGAAATAGATGTTGTCTTGGAATCTGGGCACGCTCTGGCAGGATGAGCCCGTGACCACTTGCTTCCAACACTGCTTCAAAATGTCCCGGGAGCTCAGGTGGGGAGGGGAAGGGGTTTCAGGTGAAAAATCACCGTGTCGGACTCAGAC